TTTTTTTAAGTGTAGAAAACGATAATCTACAAAATTTAATTAATACAGACTAATTTAATAGTAGAAATGAAAAGTAGCAAATGCTAGAATTATTACTGGTCAACTAACTATTATGTCTCTGCAATGAACTTGTCAATTTTACTGTAGCATTAATTATGAGTGAATATGATAATTTTGGTTTTATTTTTGGAATATAATTTAAAGATGAGTAAATATCGCGCACCAAATGCTGCTTTGATAATTCGCCTTGCATGGCTTTATCAGAATATTCAGATTCAGCTAACAATTCTGACAATGGTGATGCTTCTGAATATCGTTCGCGTAGTCTGAACATGTATCAAATTTCTGGAGGAATCAAAAAAGTACATTATACTGTTCAAAATTAACTTATGCAATAAATCAAACAAAAAAACTTGCAATTTTTATACGTACAAATTGACGTACAATTTACTGTTTTAGCTGCTTATAAAGACTTATTTTTTGTCATGTAAAGTTATTGAATGTTTTTAAAAAAAAAAAACAGACTTTAGTGCTATAACATGAACATCTGGCAATGTATTCCAGCATGTTCTTACGTTACAACTACTTGACACTCCGTGGCATTTACACTTACGGTACAAACTTTCTTGCGTTATCTAAAAGTATTGCAAATTTGTTCTGAAATGAATTTTGAAAATTTAATTTTTTTCCAATCTTTTTAAAAATAAATTTTCAAATATTCTGCGAATTTTCAAAATTTTCAAATATGACTTTTAAATTGCTATTATGTGCTAAACAGACTTTTCGTAATTTTTTTTGATGGGATCACTGAAGATCTTCACATTAAAATAATCTCTAAAATTAATTCTCACGTTGGAAGATTAAGAATTTTGCAGGAAGTAAAATAGAATTTTATATTACAAAAAAAATTTGTATTCAAACTAATATATTAATAAATCACAGCAAAAATAAGACATATTGCTTTTTTTGAGTAAATCTACTAAAATTGGTGAGAGTTTTTATAAGTTATTGCTAATAAATATTAAATTCATGTCGTCTAATTAATGATAATAATAATAATAATCATCATCATAATAATAGTAATGAAAATGCTAATACTAATATTGGGGGAGATAATACTTGCAATGAATTGAGCACTAAAAAAGTGTATATACCTGGCGACCAACTTCGTTGTTATGCTCATTCATTCTTGCTCGAGGAGGAAGATCAGCTCCGGATTTGCGATCTGAGATATCTCCATTGATGTAAACCCAATCATCGAGTAATTCCTTTAAGTTAAAAAACGTGATCTATCATTCATCATTTGCTAGCATCATAAAAACATTTATTTGTATTAGTTTGAAAAAAGGTCAGACTTACTTTTTTGATACTTTTTTTGAACAAAATTTGCTACTTAACTTTACTTTTGTTAGAAATTATTTTGATTGTAACTGATTTGTTTTTAAGACAATAAGTTAAAAAACACAACACTGACAAAAATATTCTCATCACTTCTTTTTAATTTTATATTTGCATAATTTTTGCTTTTTGCAAATCCTACCGGATGATTTCTTTTGCTATAAGTGCTCCCATTTCCAGGACGGCGCCATTTTCTACGCCATGAAGCATCAGCCCATTCTCGGCTCACACGTTGTCCGTATAATACATTATCACTACAACCTTTCCACTAAAAATCAAATTATGTTGTACCAAAAATTATGGTCTGTGCTAAAACTTGTAACTTATTTTATTCTTGAAAGAATCACAACTTCTAAAAATATTTACTACAAAAATCTTGCCAGTGGTCACAAAAAGGAAAGTATTTGTATTGAGAAAAGCAAATGTTACAAAAAATTGGGCAAAATTTTAATTGATCTTTTAACGATATACAAAAATTTAACTTCTATGTCACAGACATATGTTATGAATCCCTTACCTTACTTATAAGTAATCTAAATTGAAGCTATGCATCTCTTTTACTCAACCAATAAGTTATTTATAAAGTCTCTCTCTATCTTTTCAAAATTACTTTATAAGTAGCATCAGCGGATGTTGCAGGTGAATTTAGGCCACAAGGACAGTAAGGTAAATCACCAGAAACACAGGCTTTGGCCACATGATGAGTTATGGCTGCAGATGATAGAGCATATACAAATGCTTGCTCCCTGGTGCCTAAAATTATGCAAAATTCTCATCAACTATTTTTTACTTATCTTTTTTACTGTTTTAATAATAAATTAAAAAAGAATACAAACTCAAATTAGAAATTTGTTATTGTTTGCTGTTTTTGTGACCTTTTGTTAAATCAAATTTGAAATTTGGTGCTCGAAGTACTGAAGAACAATTCCATCTACGGTCAGAAAATATTTCCTGACATGTGGAAACAGTTGTTTGAGATGCTTGAATAAGAACGGGCATTAGGTCCGAAATCCGTCGACACATACGAGCCTATAAGCATAAATATCCACGTGTGCATTCTACTACATTTCTACTACAATAAGATTTGGATATTAACATCCAAATAAATACTCATCAAGATGTACAAGATTTTGAATTCCACAAAATGTATTTTAAACTCAAATATATATATTTTGTAAGACTGCAGCAATTTTTAATTAAATCCAAAAATAAAATGCATATAAAATTATTATTTTTATGTAATTCATTTATCACTGCTTGCATATCCACTTTCAGTTTGAGTTGATATTTCTTTACTCACTTGATAAGCTACTAATCCGTAATTCTTTCGAAGATTTTGATTCTTAGGACAGTGCTTAGGTTCTGTCCAAGCATTTGTAATTGTGTGGAGTGATCTATAATATTGATAATTTGCTGTAAATTTATTAAGATCTAATTAGTCAGAATAATCTTTGAAAGAATATCAGTATTGTAAGTTTCTTATTAATCGCAAAAATAATCAACAAACTTTGGTTTAATTTTTATTATCAAAATTGAGCAAAATTATCATTTACTGAATGAAAAGTTACTCTTTTATTATTTGCCAGTTGAAGCTAACAAATACTTTAGACTAAACAGAATAAAACTTAGTAGAAACTTTCCCTCATCACAAAAATATTAAATATGTATTTAGTCATTTAACGTTATCTTAATTGGATTTTCATATTAATATTCATATTTACTTTTATGATTTTTTCATATTTTATGCATAATAATAATTACCGCAATATAATCGTTGCATAATAATGATTAACGCAATATAATCGTTCAATTTCGACCTGATTTCATATTTGGTTATCACTCTAACAAATTTAAATATATTTTGATAATTGATATCAGTAAAAATGACGAATAAATAACTATCCTTTTTTATTAAAAAGTAATTAATCACTTAAAATTTTTAGAGCAATTAAAACTTTTAAAAAATAGTGGTGTAAAAAATACAATGGAAATTTAATCTTCTGATTAATTTGATTACTGAAAGGTAATAATTCGCATCTTTTGAATAGTCGGGATATAAAATTTTTAGAATAATAATTCTAAAAGTATAATTTTAAAATTAAGAAATAACAATCTGATATTAAGTATAAAAGTGCCTAAAATAAATTTTTCGATCATTTTTCAATTGAAATAATGCTCATACTTTAGTAAATATTCAAAGTTTGTTATGCTTAAATTTTTAAATTATAAAAGTTCAGTAGAAATTGTAACAGATAGTAATAATTATTACAATAAAATTGGTATATAAACAAGTGAAGAGCAAAAATTTATGAATTTTGACTGCATATTAAAGGAAAATTTGTAAAAATACTTACTTGTTGTGTCATTTTATCAAAAATTTTTGTATCAAAAAACTTAAAAACTTACAACCATTTAATAGAATTACATCGATGTGTGGTACTGATAATAAACAGCAATAGAATAGCTAACAGAAAATGTAATTCCATTGATGATAAATTTGTTTCTGATTAAGTAATATGTAATCAATTTTTTGAATATTTATAAAGTTATAAAAATTTTTTTGTTATAAGTAAGCAAATCAAAAGTAAATGATGCCAATGCTGAGAAAGAAGAAGAATTATTTGATACAAATTTAACAGAAGGCTATAAATTTGCATAGGCAAGGTGATCCGCCTTTGAGCTTGCTTGGTCTAAACGACCTTTCTATACTAAGAACACTACGAACATAAACTACTATCCAACCTTTTTATGATCCAATTTTACGGCCTGATTTTGTTCGTAGAATAGATCTATCTATCATTTAAAATATTCACCGGCAAATGCTCAACTTTTAACACCACCAAAAATCTTACAATTTCCTTAAAATAAACTATTTCATAGATTTTAGTAGTTTATTTACTTATTACTTTAACTCATACAAGTATATTAAAGCTTGACAACCTGTACAATATTATATTTTCTTTAATCTTGCTTTGTTTTTTTTCTTTGCTTTGAAGTTATTAAACAGCAATTACAAATTTGCATAAATTAATTATTGAACAGGAATCAAAAATTTGCATAAATTAATATAATATTGTTCAAATTTTAGTTTAATTAGCATTTTTGCTATGATTTTACAGCATAAAATTTATATTTCTGCGAGAAAAATACTTTAATATAAAATAAATAATAGACTTTACTGAATATTTTGATTTGCTATTTTTGGATTGGTTTCGCACCATATCGTTTAGTTCTGATCAAATACTTTGATTCTAAAATGAATTAAAGAATGGGAATGTGAAATAAAATTGAAAGATATGAAAAAAATGAATTGATTTGATGCCATATCAAACAATCAGATCAATCAAACGATCATCCAATTACAAGTATTTTGATTTGAAAATGAAATGAAATGCAATAAAAGTAGAGAAAATAAATGAGTTGCTGAACAATTCGGTATCTGATATCAAAATATTAGTAATAACCTTTAGCAAATTATGATTGAAAAGTATGAATAGCGAAGGTCAACATGCTGTGATTGAAAAGTAAAGATATAAATTTACATAATAAAATTAATTCTTCACTTTATTTTCAAGCAGTGAAACAAACTTTGAGTTAAAGTAAAATGCTTTCATTGAATAAACTTTAAATTTAGTATTTGAACGCTAAAATGTTTTGTTTTATTGGATTATTTTATTAATTTTGTAAAAAAGTTTATTAAAAAATAATTTTTTTTAATAACAATAATAATGGTTTCAATTACTTTGTTAAAAAACGTGAAAGAAAGAAAATTAATAAAGCTAATTCCAAATTTTTAAAAACAAATTTATGTAATATAAAAGACAAATAAAAAGTAGCAATAATAATAATAATAATAATCATAATCATAATTACTTTGTAATTATTATTACTGTTACTGCTTCTTATTGATTTAATCAAATTGCTAAATATTAAATTCAGTTTAAAAATTCGTAGATAAAATTTAAAATCATCAAAATTTAGCAATAAACAATTTTTTAGTGGTATTCAGAACATAAGACCTTGAGACAAAATTTAAATATCGTAATCGGTCATCAATTACTTATCAGTAAAGAATAAATTTTACAGACAGTATACACAAAAGTTTTTTATTGGTTACCAATAAAATAAAAATAATAAGTAGTTTTTAAAGGTTACAAAAAAGTTCAAATTTTTTCGAAGCAAACAATATTCCCAAATATTTGATTTTATTTGAAGCTGAAAACTTAACTTATGCAAATTTTGTTAATTGAATTTTTTAGCGGAAAACAAACTATTATTTTAAATCAAATCATATTTAACAATTAAACTTATTGTTTAATTTTCAGATAAAAAATATTAATTAAATAAAATTAGTCAGCAAACTTATGCATATTATTAAGTATACCGTACTAATTGGCATAAAAAACTTGGAAATAGACTTTTTTGAGCTTATTTAAATTATAAAAATTATTTTTGATTAAAAAAATACCTTTTCATGGTTTTATTTTTTTAGAGTAATTTTCTTTTTTATGGTTTTTTTCTTAATCAAAAACATTTTTTATTATAATAAAAGCTGCTTTTATCCAATATAATAAATCTGCTAATATTCTGCTAATTCATTTGTTGTGAATTGAATATTTTTGTTTTTATTTCTTCAAAATCATTCTAACCCATTTTAGGTCACTTTTTTAGCTTAAAATTTAAATTAATCTATGGATTAGCCAAAAATTAAAAATCAAATTTAAATGCTAATTTAAAAAATCTACTTTCTTGTTTCAGTTTACAACGGTTTTTTGATATTATTTGCAAAATAATTTTGTCAAATTTTCTTTTCTTGTGAAAAATTAAATTACAAATAATAATTGTTAACATTTTTCTCTTTTAATAAAATTTCTGACAATTTTGCAAACTATTGCCATTCATTCAACTGATTTTATCAATATGGAATAGTGGTAATAAACTTGTTATCACATTTATGACACAATTATTATTCCACATCACTTAAACATATTACATTACCTTAGAATATTTATTCATGTGCTTTGCTGAGATCAAGTTTGACAGCACTTAATTCAAGACAGGTTTTGAAACTTCAGCACTTATAGTCTTAATTGACTATTATTTTAATTAATAATAATTTTTGTCGTTTATTGAAAGTTTTGAGATGTGTTTGAGTAATAAACCTAAAAATGTCAAAAGTTTGATCTTAGATAACTCAAAGATCATATATTCGGATCAGTTTAATGGCTGGCTGGCTGGGTAGGATGATTTACTTTATCGCGAATAATTATTTTTGATCTGAAATATCTTTCAATTGTATAATGTTATTTTTTTAATAATTGATTTACTCATATTCATTTACCTATCATAACCAATATATTTTTACTCAATGCTTTGCTTACTTTACTTATTTGGCAAGGAATTTTTAGTAAAAACAATTAGTTCAGAACAAATAAAACTACTACTAGTTCAAAAATTTTGAATATTTCTGTACATTGTTATGCTTGATGTGCTGCTATTACATGTGAAGAGATTATTTTGACTTGAAAGAATTTATTTTATGATATTTGAATTCGTTTTAGAAGTTTAATTTCATGAAATAAATTTAATGTTTAATTTTATATTTATCATTTTAAATGCCTAATTATAGTTTTTTAAATATGACAGTAAAGGTAAGAAAATGCTCACCGCGCAGTGCAATTCAAATTATTGCAGCAGAATTTTGACACAATTTTTTCATTGTTATTTTTTTTTGATTTTTTTGAAAAATTTTGAATTATTTTTGAATGTTATTTTCTTATTAATTTTTATTAAAAGATTTTATTTAATTCTTTAATAAAACAAATTTAAATAATTAGCTCTCAAGCTGTGATAGTTTGCTTGAAATATTAATGCATTACAAGTGAGAATGCTGATTTTGGTTGCAATATTATTAATATGTATTTAAAAAAAAAAAAAAAAACTAAACTATAATTAATATAATTAATAAAGCAAAATTAAAAATTAGCAAGATTAGCGACAAAAAATAGAATATCTCGAAAAAT